GGAGGGCGTAAAATCGCCAATCAAGAAAAAATTCCCTCCATCCGGGCCTTAACGGAAGACTTCAGCGTTGAACACTGTTTATTAGTTAGTGACATCACTTGTTACTGTTACTAGCCGTGTGAAACACAACTCCAGTAACAGTACCAACCTCTAGTTACCAAATCTAAAATGCACTAGAAATCACGATTACTGGACTTGTACTGTTCCCTGGCGGAACACACCCAAAATTAAAAACCTCGAAGTTAAATAAGGTTGGATTCCGCGACTTAAGATCGCTCCAAATATTTTCGCGGGAAATTGTCTAGTGACTAATCATGGGGGAATCGCTTATCTTAAGGTTTTCAACACCACCGATCAAGCCGTTCAAATCATTTTACCCCAATTGGAATTATTAGAATTCAATGAAATCATGGAAGACCCTGATCCAAGGGGTGTAACACATGCATATTATCTATAGAATAGCGCTACACCAGTTATGTCACTCGGGTGTACTAGGTCGTAGAGTGTCGCCCTTGTCGCCAGTCCTGTATTTTCATTGTACACCCTAACCCCAAGAGTATTTAAAATTTTATTAATCGGAGTATTTTTTTTATCGGAGTATTTAAAAAAAGGAAGTTACTGTACCGCGCTCGTTTCGGTGAAACAAAAATATTTAAAAATGCCAAGGTGTAAAATTCGGGCTGAACAGTTGGATAAAACTCCAACCCCGACAAGGGGCTTTGTTTCTCTACGCCAAAAGACCCTCGAATTTTGCAGGCATGGAAAAGTGCAACTAAATTAGATCATCTAAAAAGTGGTGACCCGATATGTGACAACCACTTTCTGTCAAGTGAAGTGGAGACCCATAAAGTGATGAAGAAACCGGATGGGACTATTTTAATGAGAATCCCATATAAATGTGTTCGACTTGAAAAAGGGGCTATCCCTTCACAATTTCAGTGGACGATTGACGTTACCGATTCTTCTAAGGTCACCGATTCCAAGTTTATCGCGAAGGGATCGGAATGGAATGGATGTGACAATCACGAAACCGCATTACCCAGTGCTCCTGAATCTCCTGAATCGAACCTCCAGCTCCGAAATTCCGAAACTTCAAGTCCCATTGACAGCTCAGAGCGCTCCAAACATGATAAGGATACTCTTCACAGACTCGCAATAAGCCCAATCCACTCGCCTCCAGATGGATCATCAGGAGATCCGAGGAGATCGAACGAGTTGGGAAAGTTAAAATTGAAAGATCTGGCATTAAAAATTAATGTTCCAGTAGGCTGGAGTTTGGAGTACTTAACTCATCCTAATGAAGCTATTTTGGTCATTGCTAAACGGGAGTTCATCATTTTAAACAACCAATGTAAAACCTACACGCAAAAAGAAATTGTAATACGAAACGACTTGCGAGTGGAAGTCAGTGTTTTGGAAGAAAAGATCAATTTGCACGAATTGCATTGTGATTCGGTTGTGAAAAATCTAGGAATGTTACAAGATATCATTGCAATGGTGGATCAGACTAAAATTTGTGGTGGTTTGCACGCCCAAGATAAAATGCCAGTGATCGATTCTAAAACAGTGAAGAAAGATGCCGGTGGTACCTGGCGACACGTGGCATGTCCTCTCATCATCACACATGGAAATCGTTGCCTCTATGACCGGAAAGCGAAGAAGACAGTGGCAAAACGAATCGAGAGATTGAATAAAAATGAGGCCCCCAAGAAAAACAAAATAACATTGACTCCCAAAATCCGCTGTCAGTGGCTGTGCATGAAAACACGACTCTATAGTTCTATGAGAAAACAGAAATTGGCCGTTCGGACACTGGAGGAACTGAGGAAAGAGTTGGAAATATGCCAGCTGAAGGTGGCAAGAATTAAGGAACAAAAACTGACAGAGCGTTTGGACACCCGTCGAATCTCCAACAATCAATTCGTCCTACTGGAACAAATGGTAGCTTCTGCTCAATATAAGTCATCCACTGGTCAACGTTATTCAGAAGAATGGATGGTATTAGCGCTACTGCTGCATATGAAGTCCCCAGCGATGTACAAGTTTTTAAGCAGAAGTGAAATGTTGCCACAGCTTTCCATCCGAACGGTCCGCAGGTAGGAAAAAGTCATTTTACTTTAAAAGTCATTTTACTTATTATGAGGGAGCGCAGAGCAAAATGTAGATCTTTCTAAATTGAGTCAAGTCCAGGCGTGCCCAAGGGGTCCACATTTTCTCTACATCCTCCTATTTTTTTCCCTAAAATGTCATGTCAGAAGTTGAAAAATATACAAATAATGGTATCCACACTCTAGGTATTTATCGAAAATCAATCCAGGCTGTGGATTTGACCCAAAATTTTTTGAGCTTTTTGAAAAATCCCTCAAATATAAGGATGAAAAACAAAGACATGGACTTTTGCTGCTGGATGAAATGTTTACTCGGGAAAGCGTGACTGAAAACACAACAAATCTATCGTGGACGGGACTACAAGATTTCGGAGAGGATGGTCGTCAATCATCAACATTGCAGGAGAAAGCGAACCATGGTCTGGTTATTCTTTTCCAACCCTTAAATGATAATTATACACAGCCCATAGCTGTCTTTGCATCCAAGGGACCTGTGAAGGGAGATATTCTCGCTCCTCTAATAATGAAAGCCATCGTTTTGATGGAGGGTGCTGGAGCCAAGATCCATGGCGTGATAACAGATGGTGCCCGAACCAATCGTAAATTTTGGTCAAATGATAATGTGAAAGTGAGTGGGAAATATGAGAAACCAAAAAGTTATTTTCACCATCCAATGGATTCGAGACGGAAAATTTTCGTTTTCTCCGACACACTCCACCTCTTGAAATGCGTAAGAAATCGTCTAGAGGCCAAGGGAACTCTGAAAGTATGTAGCACCGTCAAAACTCGTATTTTTCATAGCATTTCTTTCTGTCTAAGCTCATATTTTTAGTTCTCTACAGGTGGCACCCAAAACTAGTGAAATAAAATCGGACCACATTCGAACTCTACACGAGGAGGACCGGAAAATTGGTCAGAGCCAATTGCTCTTGTGCCCCAAGCTGACTCGGCATCACATCAACTTAAATAATGCTGCGAAGATGCGAGTTTCTCGTGCCACACAGGTGCAGACTTTCCTATTCCTTAATTTTTTTTTTCACTCAGTAATATCACATGTTCTCCCATATTCAAAAATGGGTTATACACTTTTCAGGTATCTAGTGATTCTGTCCATCGAGGACTGAAAATCTTGAGAAATATTCCTGAATTACGTGATAGTGAGGAGACAGCTGAATTCTGCAAGTGGATGAATGATCTCTTTGACGCTCTGAATGGCAACAACGAGATGCAAGGCGTTTCTCCGGGTAACATCGATTATAAAGTATGTCCCGACTTGTCATTCCTCTGCAAATTCGATCAAATTTTCCGTGAATAGTTAGTTTACCCATGAATTTATTACA